GAAGTGAGTGGCTCTTAAAAGAGCCTTTGGGTTCTCGAGAGGGTCTGGGAGCGAAGCGCTTTAGCCGCCGAAGCCGTAGAGAGTGCGTCCCTGGCGCTTGAGAGCGTAGACCACGTCCATGGCCGTGACAGTCTTCCTCTTGGCGTGCTCGGTGTAGGTGACGGCGTCGCGGATCACGTTCTCCAGGAACACCTTCAGCACGCCGCGCGTCTCCTCGTAGATCAGCCCCGAGATGCGCTTCACGCCGCCGCGCCGGGCCAGGCGCCGGATGGCCGGCTTGGTGATGCCCTGGATGTTGTCGCGCAGCACCTTGCGGTGGCGCTTGGCGCCGCCCTTGCCGAGCCCCTTGCCGCCTTTGCCTCTCCCGGACATGCTGCTACCGAGACTTGAGTACAGATGCTGAGAGTGAGGCGGCGCGGCGGCCTTTATGCGGTGGGAGCCGACCTGGTTGGAGACTGCACCGAAAGGGGCGGGGTCTCAGGGCTTGCTCCCGCCGCGTCTCCCCGCGCCTCCGCACTTTCGCTATCGCGCGCCCCGCTAGCATAAAGCTGCGGGTTTCGTTCGAGTTTCACTTACCGCGGTACAAGAGGTTGTGTGTTGCTGCCCTTTTTCGGTACGCTTTTTTTTTTGTTTGTTTTTTTTTGTTTTTGTTTTTTTTTTAGATAACAAAGACTTTGGGTCTGCCTGTATAGTAATTTGTTTTAAACTTTTAATATGTCTTGATCATTCAGAAGTAAAACCTCGATCCTAGAGAAGTTATTGAATCACTCAAATTGCCCTTTGATTTTTTTTCCTAAACTTTTCATTTTAAAATATGGTTATGTGTTATATCTTACAGTTTCACCTGGTTGATTGATTCTTATGTGTGGTTTCAGTGTTTTAGCTGCTCCTCATGTTTTTTTAATGGTGCATCTTGCAGCAAAATCTGTCCAATGGTATTTCTGGGAAGTTCTACCCCTCCTTGAATTTATCTTTCATTTGCATTTCCCGCCCTTTTCTCAAGGAGAATTTAGCAGTAAAGGCACTCTAATCAAGAGTTTAATCCTTACGTGCTTAATTTGTATTTTTTAAGGGAAATCGTTCCTTTGGAAGAATATTTTTACAGTACTTTCCATTCTTATGTTGGCATAGACAATAACGTGGCTATATTTAGAGAGATTGAAAAATTAAATATGGAAAAGGAAGGGTGTTTTTTCCTTCCGAGGAATGTATTAAACTTTTTTTTTTCTTTCTTTTGGGGAGGAAAATCTTCTGAGGTTTTACTTTTAAAAACAAAAAATGGTATTTTAGAAAAATTATTCGGTAGATGGCTTTCCACCTGAAAATGGGTGAAGGATGAATAGTTTCCAGTATTGAGCGTTTGCTGCCCTCTCATGGACGCTTTTGTTGGCGTTTTGTTTTTGTTTTCCTTACAAGCTGAGTGGCTTTTTCTAATTCATCCTTTCATAAAGATAAAACATAAGATTAATCAGTGATCAATCTCTATCTTCGCATAGACCATAGATACTAGTGTTGCATTTGCTAGCAGTGAAATCACTGTTCCAGTGGCATCTCACTAGCAGATGAAAATAAGTGAGGTCTGCCATGTGCATGCACAATCTTTTCAGCATAGGCACAAATGAAACTCAAATGGAGTAAGACAAGCACCAAAACTCTGAAGGAGACATCCTAAAGGCTCAAACCAGTAACAAAATATCCTGTTCTACAAGGAACTTTACAGTATCTGATATTGGGGTATGGAGATAACTCCGGAGTACACTGGTGATACCACAGCTAAGTTCCCTTTCCTGACACCAGTTTGCTCCTTCCAGGGAGAAAAGTTCAGGGACCATGACTAGACTGCTGTGGGGGACTAAGCTACCATGAGAAACTGGGCATTCTGTAGCCAAGTTCTCTGTCATTCCCAGGAGATTTCGAGAGTAAGGAGAGACATTTGGTGTAACATTTGCTGCAGGCTTTATTGCTTTCTGAGGTCACAGGCAAGTCCCCAGGATGTTACTAACAGGGTAGTTGACTACAACCTGCTGCAGAGCTCCCTAAACCTGCTTTGCCGTGGAAATCATGTCTGCTCAATCTTTGTGAATCTGACTGTATCACAGTCCTGTCCTGGGAATTATAACCACTTGCAGACCCCTGCCATGAGGTTCCCAGACACTCCTGGACTTCATCAAATCACATTTCCATGCAGTCCCTGATGAGTTGTCTTCCTCTGGAAAGTTGAGGGTTTATCTCTTTTTTTTTTTTTTTTCTCTTTTTTTTTCTTTTCCCTTTAAATGGGATAAAATTGTTAGAGCTTCATACTATAACCCTGCTCCATAATGAGCTGCTTCTGCCCAGGAATCTGTGACTACATATAATATTTCCCTCTGTGTCTAGATGTTTGTCTCCTTGTCTTTATGTTCTAGACACAATATCTGAACCTGTTTGGAAATGGATTTTTTTTTTTTTTTTTAATGAGTAGATACATACTTGTGCATAGAACCTGTCTCTT